AAAGAGATTTCAACAAATAATGCAATGTGTGATTCCTCAGTGGATCTCAGTTGGAATAGCTGTAGAAAACATTTTGGGGACTGGGTATCAAATGATATCAGCAAGTTACATCATACTAATCTTCTAGTTATCCAGGAAAATATCCTTACTTCCCACAAAGTATTTATGGATGGAATATTATGAAATAGGTTACTTTAAATACTTCAAAAGCTGGGCATGGTGGTACATGCCTGTAGCTTGGAAGGCTGAGGCAGGAGGATCGCAAGTTCAAAGCCAGCCTCAGCAACTTAGTGCGTCCCTAAGCAACTTAGTGAGACCCTTTCTCCAGATAAAAAATGAAAAGGACTGGGGATGTGGCTCAGTGGTTAAGCACCCCTGGGTTCAATGCCAGTGCAAACAACAATAACAAAAACACTTTCAAAAAGAAATAATATGGTAAAATGGTAACAATGGTTAAATCTAGTTTATGACTACATGAGTGGGAATACCTGTCATAACCTAAATTTAGGTTTTTCTATAGTTTTTATACGTTTATTTGAGGGGAAAAACCAAACAAACAAATAAACCCAAACTAAAAAACTCTTAGATTAGTGGTTTTCAAAGTATAATCCTTATCTTCTGAAAAAGTACTTCCTAGAGATGCAAATTTTAGGGTCCCACTTTGAACATACTGGATTGAAGCTTGGGGGTGGTGTCTTTGCAGCAGTGGAGTTTGAGCAAGCCCACCAGGAGATTCTGATACTAAATACCATTGATAATCACTGTCTCGGAGCCTGGAGAGGCTGGGGTTAGAGAGGATGATGATAGGGGAAGGTCAACCTGGTAGTGTGATATAGTTGCCAAGATGAAATGTAAGATCAAAACGTACAGGCAAAACTCAACCAATGCTATTTAGACACAGACATGAGAAGCGATGACACTAAAGCAGCCATGTGTCTGCTGGTTTGGAGGTGTCATGACTGCAGCCCGAAGGAAGGCAGCTGTCCGGAGGAGGCGTTGTCAGTGGACACCGGTGGGTTGTTGCTTCTGCACCGCGTGTCTGATCTGCCACAGCAGCTCTTGCTGGTGCTCTTGTTCTTTAAGGACCTTTTCCTTGGGATCAGAATCTGGCACCTAACAATGTTGTCCTTAGATGTTGGAAGGGGTTGATATTATCGAATGACTATCTGCATGGCTTCAGCATCCTGTTAATTCTTTTATTTATTTATTTATTTATTTTTGTGGTGTTGGGGATTGAACCCAGGGTTTTGTCCATGCGAGGCAAGCACTCTACCAACTGAGCTATATCCCCAGTCCCCTAATTCTGGACTTCCCAATTTAGTCATTTAATCAAGTGATTTTATGCAGAACCACTCAGAGTTTCATTGTGAATTTCCATATTGGGCTATTATGGAAAGACTCATTTTGCAAACATCCTTGCACTTAGAATACATATATAGAGAGAATTATGGTTCAAAGGGACATGTTTCAGGATGGTTCTTTAAGAGGTAAAGTCTTGGGCTGGGGTTGTGGCTCATAGGTAGAGCGCTTGCCTAGCATGCGTGAGGCACTGGGTTCGATCCTCAGCATCACATAAAAATAAAATAAAGGTATTGTGTCCACCTACAACTAAAAAATAAATATTAAAAAAGTGGTAAAGTCTTATTAAGCATGCAGTGATAGAAATCCTTCATGAAGCTGTGAGGATAAGAATATTGTTTCTAGAATTTATAGAAATGAATATATAATAGCTTAAAACAATAGTAAATCCTTTTTCTCCCCACCCCTTTGTTGAGACAAGGTTGTCCAGGGTTGTCTTGAACCCCTGTGCTCAAGCGATCCACCTGCCTCAGCCTCCCTAAGTAGCTAGGACTACAAGCAAGCGCCTGTGCCTGGCTCTGACATAAATGTTAATTATCTGTTTTCAAAACAACTTACCTTTGCAGAATTCAAGAACATACAGTTGTCAAAGAGACCTACCCCTTTGCACAGCTCCAGCATTTAATGTGAATATTACCGCAGAGAGCTCCATGGCTGACTAGTGAAGGAGGGGCTGATGGTGCTCCTATAGCAGGAGGTAAGGTTCCACTTATTTTCAAATTCTGGGCCTTGCTTTCTTCTTACTTATGGAAAAATATAGTTATAGCTTTAAAGTTTTGGTCTTTGGTATAATAGTTTTATAGAATCTTACTGCTTGCTTAATGTCAACTTAATCATTAATTTTACTTCTATTTTTCTTTTTCCGGAAAACTTGAGACGAGTCAAGTATGAAAAGCTCTGAGTGCTGCCATTTCTTGAGGCTGCAGTTTGGGCCAAATGAACCCTGCATTCTAAGTCCGAACAATAGAGAAATAATTTCTCTCATCAATGCTGAATAATTTTAGCTCTTTCTATCAGACAATAGCTTGATTGCATTGCTAGGTTTCTGGATTTTAAGGAACAAGATGACAATAGCAAAAAATGGGCAAAGAAAGCCTTAGACTGAAAGAAAGGCCAAGATACTTATGAAATTAAATGTAAGCATCCACTGAATATGCTATCAGGTTCTGACTCCAGTGGCTAGGGGGTTGGGCCCAGGAAAGTGGGGAAGGGTAGCCACTCAGGGTGACTTAGGTAAAGCTTTAAGAATAATGAAGAGAGTTCCAGAAGATAACATTGCAGGGGCAGAAAGAAGTCTGATCAGGTACTACGGCATAGGTAAAGTTAAGAATTTTATTTTGGAGTAATGGGTTTCAGACTTCTGAACTCCTAAACTGTGAGAGACAGATACTTTTTTCCTTTTCCTTTTTTTTTTTTTTTTTTTAATACTATGGAGAATTGGACCCAGGAGTACTCTACCACTGAGTTATTCCCCCTCTTTTTTAAATTTTATTTTGAGCAGGATCTTACTAAGTTCCCCAGGCTGGCCTTGAAACTTATGATCCTCCTTCCTCAGACTCTTGAGTAGCTGGGATTACAAGGTGCACCATCACTCCTGGCTAAATGTGTGTTATCACATTCTTGGCATTTTTTACAGCAGCCATATGAAGTTAATATACCTGTGAAGGAAGATTGTCCCTGCATTCCAAATCTACCTGAATTCCTACCCACCTGAGAAAAGAAGAACTGTTGTTGAGTAATTGGCGCAATTTAATCCATAAAACAGTAGATCATCATGTGTGGTTCTCAGCACTGAATATATAAAAACTCATTTTCCTTGATTTATCAGGCATGTTCTGATTATGGAGGATTAGCACGTGCTAACCTAACTCATGAGAGAGCTAGTAACCAGAACACCAATTTATTGGTGTATTTCTGGAAATACAAGTACTAAGTGTTTCAATTTACTCAGATCAGCAGCCAAATGCTGCTTGAGAAGTGTGAACCCAGAGGAAGGCAACTGCCCATCTTGAGGGCCGATGTTACTGAATCTAACAGTCTAGTGCACTAGAACATTTACATGGCCAAGCATGTCTCTCTTTCTTGACCTTGCTGGAACATTCTTTCCAGGGTCCTGAAGAGCCACCATCCTCATGCTGTTTTAGCAGTATTCCTTCAGAGGGGCTACAGAGACTAAATGCCAACTTACATGATCTCTTAGACAATCATCAACATATTTATAAGCCACCTCTTTACATCCTAATTCACTGAAAAATAACTGGTAAGTGCTCAGCACTGCTACTATTTTATACACAAAGGTAGAGATCAAGGCCCTGTTCTCCAGGAATCCCATGTTCCTTTAGAGGGTTAAGAGTCACTGTGTTTTTCTTCCATCACTACCAGATATCATCCATTTCTTGTGACTTCACGATCTTCATTTTTGCAGACTAACATTTCCTCACTCTTATCAAATTTAGGGGTAGTGGTATTGGAGACTGACGAATCAGTCAAATCGATTCAGTAAAACATCCTATTTTTGACTATTTTATTTGAATATTAACATTTCACTGGTCCTGTGGACAAGGGGTCTAGCATTTAAACAATCTTAGCGATGTTAACATTTCTACAAAACAGAGTGACAGCCACGGTAGGCACCCGTCAGAGTTGAAGGAGAAGGGATCTGTGGACTGGGCTGTCCCAACTTGTAGTTTTATTCCATGATGGTAATTACATGGTCATTAAGAACAGCTGATTGTCAGGCACAGTGGCCCATGCTTGTAACCTCAGAGGCAAGAGGACCACTGAGTTAAAGCCAGCCTCAGCAACTTAGCGAGGCTCTAAGTAACTCACCGAGACCCTATCTCTAAATAAGATATAAAAAGGGGCTGGTGATATGGCTCAGTGGTTAAGGCCCCTGAGTTCAGTCCCTGGTACAAAAAAAAGCCAAAGAAAACAAGAAAAACCCAGGTTATTTTTATCTAATTTTCTTAAGTCTGAAAATCAGGACTCTTCAAGGGAATAACACTGTCACAATCATACCTTCCCCTCTAGCTTGCATAATTCATCATATATGTAACAGACTTCCAGCTATGGTCCCAGAGATGGTTTTGCCACCACTTGCATAGTGAGACTACGTTTGATGGACTTCTGCTTGTTTTACATTAGCTTTCAAATCTCAGGATCAAGGAGACCACTGTAAACTAGTAAAGACTAGTGGAATAATGGTTGTCTGAACGTCTTGGAATAAGTCACTTATCTTTCTTGTATTCAGTTTTCTCGCTAAGTGTTGGTTATGTTTTATGTCTTTTGTTTTCCTAACTCTAAAATTAAATGATTCTCTGAGAATCTCTGGAAAATATGATCACAAAAAAAGTTAAATTTCTTATGGAACCGCTCAGAAGAATTTACTTTGAACAAACCAGTTTTGAATAGTTCACTAAGAAGATGTCACAACTATTCTTTTTAGTTTGTGTGTGGCGCTGGGGATTGAACCCAGGGTCTTGTGCATGCGAAGCAAGCACTCTACCGACTGAGCTATATCCCCAGTCCACAACTATTCTTTTTCAGTAAACAGTGTCCTGTTTTCACAGAGCTAATTTTTAAACTGTAAGGAAAGTCATCCATTAATTACACACACACACACACACACAAATCCACAACTATTTTGTGAAACAATTTCTGTGTACCAATTTTATTTTTTACAAAAAAGAAATGGCAATAGGGGATGGGGAGATAGGAATAATGCTTGGTCCCTCCTGCCCTACCCCATGCAGAAGACAAGGTAAGAAACAAATATGGGTCAGACGGGTCTCCGTCCTGTAATCTGTAATAGCTATGAGCACAACGGTGCCCAAACATGGACTAACTATTAAGGCTTAAGGTCAGTGTATTGCAGCCTGTGCCAACATAACGGAAGGGTCAAAACAATCCACGCCATTAGCCTGCAGGAGAATGAAGGCCCTCAGGTGGACCTACTGGCGCCTTGACTCTGGGGGGGCTGAGGCCCCTCTTTTTGATCGTCTGTGCCGCCCTCTCCAGGGCATATAGGGGCCTTGAACTAGGTAACGGGAAAAACCCCTGTACACCACTGGGGCCCGCTGCTGATAACAGGGTGAGAAGCTGGCCATAGGTGGAGGGGAACAAAAGTTAAAGTCAGCTTCGAAGGCAAATCCTGGCTGGGTAGATGAGGGGACATCTGATTGGAAATAGAATTGATCCGACTGGAAAACATGGTCGGAGGAAAAGTAGCAATCTTGGGGATAGTGCGGGGACGGGGGTGACATGTGATGTGGGGGAATGGGAGGGGGCAGCAAGGGGCGCAAGCGGGGCCGTGGGGTCTCGAGCAGGGGGCGACGCCTGGGAGAAGGCAGGGGCGGGGACAGGGATAAGTCCAATTGATCTCGGTTGGCCTGGGGCTGCCTCTCAGCTGCCTGGCCACGGTGTTCCCACTCAGGGGCGTCCTGGATCAGCTCACCTATGGGTGCGGGTGGGCGGCAGGGTAGCTCCACACCCCAGGCCTCAGCCACGTGGGTCAGCAGCAGGTAGGAGAGCTGGCGGTGTGCGTGCTCATTCCAGTGCACCCCATCTGACTGCAGGCAATTCCAAGCATGACGAAAGTGGAAATGCAAGTCTAGCACATCGAAGCCATGTTTACTTGCCTTGATGGAGCTGTAGAAGTTGGCATGCACCACGATCCTTCGCAAAGGGATGGCCCAGGGCAGGGGCTTGCGTGGGAGAAAACGTGCAGTAATTTTCTTACCTACAGGCATGGCCGTGTTCCACACCAGGAGGCAAGACTCAGGCAGAACTTCGCCCAATCGCCCAAACAGGTTCTCCAGGTTCTGCAGATAGCTGTTCCAGGAGTGCGGACCATACCTGGAGACGTCCCAGAGGCAGGAGTTCATGATGATCAGGTCCGGGGCATGCTCACCGGACTGGAGTTCCTCCAAGATGGCCTCCAGGTACTTGGAGTAAACGCGCGTGAGGAAGTAAAAGCGCACCAGATGGTGATCTGAGCTGAACTGGCGGACCTCGCGGTAGTTGGTGCCATTGTGCAAGGGGCCCAGCTGACCTCCTTTCACCAGCTTGTCCTGTTCGAAGGTCAGTTCGCCCTTGGCCTTGAGTTGGCTGGGAGTGAGCAAGCAGTCCTTCTGCAGCAGGAGCACCAGGTCTTTGTACACGGCCCTCTGCACGGAGTCCCCCAGGATGACCACAAATTTGTTATGGAGCAGCTGCTGTACTTCGGAGGCCAGCAGACGGCCCATGATGCCTGGGGAGCGCAGCTTAGTTCCTTTCTTTGCACAGGGTGACGCTGCAGATTACTAGGACAGAAGGAGAGAGCGCTGGGAGGGACTCACCCCTCGCCAGGGCAGGTAAAGCAAAGAAAACAAGGAAAAGCCCTGGGAGTCGCGGCCTCTGCCCAGAGGAAGTGCGCCTGAGGCGCCTGCCTGGCTAGCGCCACCAAATCTGGGCCTCCAAAAGGGGAGAGAGCAATGACAGAGATCTGGGAGCCCTTGGTGGTCTGGCTGCCCTTTAGCCTGGGACTTGACCTCTTAAACTAGGCAAATTGTTCTAGGAGTTTCAGGCTCCACCCAGAAGGGAGAGGCCAACTCCAAACAGCCCTGCCCTGATAACAGCGGGATGACCCAATGAGAACATGGAAGCAGCCAGACACTCCTAATCCCAGATATTGGGAGAAGGAAGCAGGGGGATCACAAGCTCCAGGCCAGTCTGAGCAATTTAGGGAGACCTTGTCTCAAAATAAAATTTTTTAAAAAGAGCTGGGTATATATAGCTCAGAGGTAGAGCCCTTGCCTAGCATGTGCTAGGCCCTAGGTTCAATCCCTAGTACAAGGGGAAAAAAAAAAAATCTAAATGTAGACAAGATGCCTAACAACTAGAGAAAAGTTAGGCAAACTTTGCAGCTATGAAATAATATGAGGACTGAGGTTAAGAACATGGAGACTGTTTGTAATGCAATGTTATTTTAAAAAGTTATATTATACATTCTGTGCCCTTATCACTACAATTCTGTGAAATAGATATAGATAACCTAATTCCACCTTAAGATTGGGAGCCATCTTGTTATGAGGTCATGAAAAATTCATTTCTGTTTTACTGTAAAATACTAAGATTTCTATTTCTCCTGACCATACTTTGATATTTTAAACTTGCTTGGAATTCCTGCCTGTGCTTTGAACTTACGGGTGCCTGACTCTCCCTCACCAGATAACAACCCTCCCTGAGATCTCAGCTGCTCCTCCTTAATTCTGATGTTGGAATCTGAATTTACTCCCCACCTTGAGATGTTAAGCCATGTAGATCATTAACCTGCTGTCTGCCCTTGTTTTATCAGAACCCTGTCAGCTGTAAGTTCCCAATATACCCACCTTTGTAACTTTGTGTTATAAAAACCTCCCTGCTCTTAGACCAGGCAGTGTCCTCTGGCCATGCTTTTAGGCAAGGCAGTGGCTGAGCATCTCCCTCATGTACACAAAATAAGCTTGCTTTAATTTGGTTTAAAATTGGAGTCAGTGGTCTTTTCTTTGCGTCGTGGGTTCAACAATAACATTGAAAGGAAGTATGTAAGAACATAGTTTGTAAGAGTAGTAGAATTATGGGTGAGTAGCCTTCCACCTTTTTTCTAAATATATTTTATAGTTTTATATTGCTTTTTGTAACTTAAAAAGAAATGCAACAAGTAACAGAAAAGAGTATGTGTACAAGGTCAGAAAATATTAAAAGGTTTATTTAGTAAGGAAGTGGCTGCTTATCAGTAGGACTGAAAAATACTAATCAAGATAAAATTTAGTTACGGTGTGGCTATATTCTTTGCTTTCCATTTGAAAAGGATCAGAATATGCCACCCCAAAATATACCCTTTGGTAAGGGATATTTTCCACTGAAAACAGATGCAGAAAATTCTATAACATATCCCCTTTTTAATTTCTTGTAATTTTTATTTGTTAAATTAATAAACTGATTTTTTTTCCCCCTGACCTCCCTTTATCTATCTGAAGTCTGGGCAAAAATTTCCCTTTGAGGAAGGTGACACCCCTTCCCCCTCAACCAGGAAGAGCTTCTTTCAATCACTTAACTTCGGACAGGTTGTGGGAATTTGATCTTACATAAATAAAGTAGTCCTTATCTTCCATTAACTCTGCCTGTGCATTTTTCAGCTTTCTGTTAATATATATATAAATATATATAATATATATATAAAATATATAATATATATAAAATATATAATATATATATAAATCCTCAAATCTAAGTGTTGAGTTTCACTTCTTTTCTGTGCATTCTTTGCATATAAATATTAACTAAAATTCTGAGTTTACTCCTATTCATCTGTCTAATTTGCATGCCCACAGGGGCTGAACTAAAAAGTAGAGAAAAAGGTTTTCCTTTCCAACACATTGGATGAAAATGTTAAAAGATGTGAAACTCATCTTCAAAACTTTGGATTGTTTATTTCAAGCTGCCACTTATGGCTGTCTTCAGGAATGACTATGGGAGAAACACTTCAATGACTATGGGAGAAACACTGCTGACAAATCCTGATTGGGGAGGAACATGGCATCCACTTATATACTTAGCCAGAAGCTATTAAAATCCACTAAGGCTTGACAGTTGTAAAATTTTATTGCATTTTAATAGGTGGAGATGGACAGCTATCATTCAATTACAAATTCAATTTTTTTTTGGGGGGGGGGTTGGTTTGGGGATTGAACCCTGGGTCACTTTATCACTGAGCTATATCTTTTTTTTTTTTTAATTTTGAGATAGCATCTCACTAAGTTGCTGAGGCTGGCTTCAAACCTGTGGTCATCTGCTTTAGTTTCCCTAGTTGATGAGATTACAGGCCTCTATCACAGTGCCTGGCCAAATTCAATTTTTAAAAGTCGTACTACTTGTGGTTTTAATGGTTAAAAGTAAAAAAAATAAAATGTGAAAATAGGTAGAATATTAAATTTCTATAAAACAGTTGAGAATATTGGATCATCATCCTCATCTTCATAGAATAATTTTACTATCAGAAAAATACAATAAAAATTAGAAAAAAAAAAGAAAGAAAAGAAAAACCTTGAGCCAGGCACCATGTATGGCCTATGCCTATAATCCCAGTGACTTGGGAGGCTGAGGCAGGAGAATCCCAAATTTGAGGCCAATCTCAGCAACTCAGAGACCCTGTCTCAAAATATCAAAATAAAAAGGGATGGGGATGTAATTCCCAGTATTAAAAAAAAACAAAAAACCAGAAATACTTAAAATAGAACTTAGCTTATATGGTACTACTTCCTAGCTGTTTGACTTTAGGCTAATTATTTTGTCTCTCTGTGCCTTATTTTTATTCATCTGTGAATTGGGACTGTTAATACCCACTTTAGAGATTTGATGTGAGATTAAATGTAAAATGCTTTGAATAATGCCTGACAAATAGCAAGTGTTGATAAGTTATTATTCCTAAGCAAGTTGCAGAACACCAAGTTAATCATTTATAAAATAGGGATACAATATTTCTGCTGTATGACCAAGAATTTCTCATTGTTCTTCACCAGTGGGATATGTAGATGTGACTGTGAGACAAGGGGCGTGGGTGACGGAAGGATCATTTTCACAAGAAGCTGAAACTGAAAGGAAACTCATGAACTTCTTGGTAAAGAACACCAGCAACTCCAAAAGGATTAACAAAATCAGACACTGGACTCCCACTGTGGGAAAGGATCATTTAATCTAAGAGTCCAAGTGTCAAAACCAAAGTGTAACAAACTAAAACCATGGATAAGTAAGGGAGCTGGAAAAAAGAATTGAGAGAGGTTAAATCATCTGTGTCTCTCTCTCTCTCTCTCTTTTTTTTTTTTTAGGCAAATAACTTCTATTTTCAGGCTTTTTTTATTTATAAAAAGTGAAACAAGGGGCTGGGGATGTGGCTCAAGCGGTAGCGCGTTCACCTGGGTTCGAGCCTCAGCATCACATAAAAAAAAAAAGGATGTTGTGTCCACTGAAAACTAAAAAAATTTTTAAAAAGGGGGAAAAAAAAGAAACATTAAAAAAAAAAAAAGTGAAACAAAAAGGGATTTGAAAGCCAAATCAGTGGTCTTTTAAGCTTAGGCTTATTTCTTTGCTTCAAATTTGCTAAACTCACTTATTAGTTTTGGAAGCTATTTTACAGATTAATATAAGCTAATTATTAAAAATCCTGGAGAACCAGATATTGTGCTAGGAGGTTCAAGGAGTGGGTATAAAAAGACAATCTCATCCCCCAAGGAGAGAGGTAAGGAAATGGATATTCAAAGATAGATATCAAAGAAAGAGCTGGATGGTGATGTATGCAAATGAAGTCTCCTAGACTGTTGGAAGAGTTGAGGGGGAGGAGGGAGGTGTGTATGGACAGCCATGCAATCTGTTATTTCTGTTATTTCAGTCTTAAATTAAAGCAGGATTAAAAGATTTTTTTTTTTTCCAGCCAGGCATAGTGCCATACACCTACCTATAATCCCAGCAACTGGGAAGGCTGAGGCAGGAAGATTTAATAGTCCTACTTATAAGTGAAATATGAAAAAAATGCTTGCCAGGCATGGTGGTACATGCCTGTAATCCCAGCAATTTGGGAGGCTGAGGCAAGAGGAGCACAAATTTGAGGCCAGCCTCAGCAACTTAATAAGACCCTGTCTCAAAATCAAAAATAAAAAGTTTCAAGGTGATTCCCCACCTCATGGTTATAAAAGTTCCCCATGTTTGTCTTTTTTCAAAGCAAAATTTGGACTTAGATTAAAGTGGTGGCAAGAAATATGCAGTATTAATGGCTACCTCTATGATAAATCCTAAGCAATTTGCCTATATTTTTCCACCTGGGGATAATTAATTTTTTAGTAACTTCATAAGCCATGAATTATTAACCATTAACTATTGCTTTATAACCATCACAAACCAAATAGCATTTATTTTTCATTAATCAATATTTGTAATAATTAGGTTAATTTTTGAGGATGAGCGACACTGAAACAGGCTAGTTGTTCCAGAGACCCTGCAGATAAGTCTTAAGTCAGAGATGGTCATTAACAATTAGGATGCTGTTTTGATTACTTGTAGGAAGTACTTAGCTATTTTTAAAAGTTTCTGGCATATGACTATCTTAATGCAACATGGTATTGAAATTATAAAAAGTTCATTTCTTCTGACTACCTATTTTGAAATCAAACCAATACTTGGAACTTTCCAAGATCCCCTTAAATTTTAATGGAATATATGGTACAGATAAAAGTCTAATTATTTTTCATGAATTTACCTGTTTGAATTATGGGTTTCTTGGCATTTGCTTCATTTTTCTATTTAAACTTGTCAAAAATTAAATTGAATGTCATATAAAATTTTAAAAGAAAAACAAAGAGCTAACAATTAAAATTTCTCTTTGGAAAAGCTTAATGACCTATGTTTTGAGGGTTTTCTGGACTCATCTTTTAATTTGAAACAAGTTCATTAATATCCATTTCTCCATATATCCCTCAAGTGGGGAAGATAATGCAGGCCTACTATTTTAAAAAGAGGTTTTAGGAGCAAATAAAAATACCTATATAGAAGTACTATAAGATACTAAGGTAAGTAATGCAATAGAGAAATAATTGCCAAACAGCTGCCAGAAAGATCGATTCTAGTCCACCACCTCCAAAGACCTCACCTCTTAAATACATCTCGACATTGCAGCCTATTATTTCAATAAAAATTTAGAGAACACCCTTGTCTACTGAGGGCTGTGACAGAAGTCAGCCTGCAAATTTGATTCTCACCCCTACCAAACCATCATAGTAGTTCCTCTACCCTGCATTATAAACCCCAGTATATGGCTTCACATCCCTCACTTGATTATTCAGGTAGTTCTTAGACACAAATAAGGTCTGACAGGTGAAATAAATAAAAAACTAATCCCAGTGACTCCACTCAGATTGCTGAGGCAGGAGAACCACAGTTGGAGGCTATCCACAGCAACTTAGTGAGACCCTGTCTCAAAGTTAAAAAATTAAAAGGGCTGGGGATGTATCTCAGTAATAAAACACTCCTGGTTCAATTTCTAGTGCCAAAGCCCCAAACCAAAAAACTACAATAATGATCTCCAAACTGGGTACCACGTGACTACAAATTCATTTTGTGGAGGCAGGAATCACTGTGCACATATCTAATTTGCAGTTGTATCATCCCTACAGTTCTTAAACTTGTGATTCTTTTGCAACAAATATCTTTGGAAGAATTTCAAATACTTCAAATCTGAAAATTAACAAGTTCAAAAACTCTGAAAGCAGAATGTTTTCCCCCATAGTAATCATGGGGAACTAAAAATATTTCCGAATAGAAAGAAACGCAAGGAACATCCTTAACTGCATTCTGCTGTCATGTATACCTAATTAGAACAAATAAATCAATTAAAGAATGAAGTACAAGTTCATGGTGCCATATAAAAAGATATTTTTAAATAAAAACAAAAGATAAGCTAGATGTGGAGACTAATAATGCAGGAGATGGCAAGTTGGGGGCCAACCTCAGCAACTTATTAAGACCCTGTCTCAGAAGGAAAATTTTTAAAAAGATAGAAAAAAGCTGGGGATGTGGCTCAGTGGTAAAGTGCCTCTGAGTTCAATCCTCAGTACCGGAAAGGGAAAAAAAAAAAAAAAAAGATAAACTATGGAGCACTTATTCAAATGGCCTTATTAAGGAAAAGAATTTTTTTTTTTTTTACAAAGGGATCCCCTAAAGTAAATAATCAAAGCAATTCATAAAAACAAAAATTTGATACCAATCATATGTTGTCTATGGTAAATGTTCATATTATGTTGTGAGCCATTATTTAAGCTACATTTTCGGAGTTGGGAATAGAGCTCAGTGGTGGAGTGCTTACCCAGCATGAATGATGCTCTGAGTTCCATCCCCAGCACCACACAATAAAGAAAACAACATTTGCTAACTTGCTACCTATTACCCCTCTAACAGGAATGAATGACATCAGAAGGCAGTAACCTGGTTCTCCCCTTCACCGTCCTGACCTTCCCATTCTGTAAAACAGGTATGTGATCACCTGTCTGAGTAATAGCGAAGATGAAAAGAGAGCCCGTATTAGGGCCAGTTCAGCTCCCACCAAACATTAAGCCCCTGTAATAACCTCTGGCACAGCAAGTCGTCCCCATTTGGCTCCTAGAGAAAACATAGGACCTCGATCAGAATCTCTGCTGAAAACTTCAGCCCCACAAGCCCCTTCTTACCTGTGCACAAAGGCAGAAATGTACCTACATAGGAGCAAAGTTAATCCTTCCACGCTGGTCTCGGGTCCTCCTCCGGCTTCCTCAGGGACTCCACTTCAGGATGTCCCCGTGAGGGGCTAATTATGCATTCTGCATTTTTTTTAACTCTCCTTAGGTTGGCTCCTTGCTTTCATCATTAAATACATTCTAATTTCTTGCTTCAAAAAAAGAAAGGAAACTTCTTGACTCCACCCCCAGGACAGTCCTATCTTTTTCCTGGGCTTCAAGGCCACATTTTAAAGTGTTGTTTGCGCTGGCCAGTCCCTGTCCTTACCTCCCACTCACTCCTCCTCCGGGTTTGATTTGGTTTCCAGCTCCACAAAACCAAAGCTGTTTGTCTGCCGATCATCACTGGTTTCTTCGTTGCCCCTTTCAGTGGCCACTTTTAGGTTCCCAGCCCCTGAGGCTGGGGTGCTGTTGACTTGCCACCTCTGAAAAACTGGGCTGAAACTATGAGTCTGTGACAATCCTGTATCTCTTCCCGGGATCCTTGGCAGGTTTCTCGATCTCTGGGAATTCCCCAAACTTGATCTTTCTTAAAGTCCACTAATTGGTTTCTTTCTTCTTTGTTCATCCACGCTCAGACATACAGGCAGTAAGGAGACAGCACTTCCCCGCCAGCCTGCTACAGTTGTTTGGGCCTGTTTTCCCTAGCATAATAATAAATAGCACCCACTCCCTGCTCTGGAGTCCTAGTTTGAATAATGACAATTGGCCAATCACCTTATCAATAGCAATACCATTTGTATGCAGATGACTCAGGAATAAGGGGGGGGGAGGGGGGCAGTGGCTAAGAGGGAGGGCCCTGGAGTTGGATCCCTAGGGTTCATATCCTGTCTCACTGACAAGTGGAGTAGCCTCCCAGCTTTGAGGAAGCCTTGTTCCATTAACAAGCAAAGTCTTACTATGGATTTCTTAACAAGCCAGGGGAAAAGAACATTGGCAAGGTCATTAGCACCAAGCTGCCACATTTTAAATGCTCAATGAATTCAGCTATTCTCTAGTCCAGGCATGTCTCCCAGACATATTCAAGTGTAGATTAAAGTTCACTGGGGAGTGAGAAGTAACAAATTCTGTAGATACTCATTTATCCTCCCACCCAATAGTGGCTGAATTCCTGAGATGATTCTCTCTTGACCTTTGAACCATCTTCCTAAAGGTAAATATTGATCATTGATGGGAATAGGGGCAGCATATTCTCACCATGGGTTTTCGGAGAGCTGCTGTATAATATTGCTCTAAAACACTGGAGATATGTAACTGGGTGAAAACAAACTGCCTCTGAAATGCTTGGGGCAAGTCATTTTTATTTTTTATGACTGTTTTCACTATTCCTGAGACATCAAAATCCTTGGATGAGTTCCTTGTCAGTTCAACTATTTCTTTCTTTTTTAAAAGGTGGGAGGACTACATGGATTGAACTCAGGAGCACTCAACCAATGAAATTCATTCCCAGCCCTATTTTGTAATTTCTTTAGAGATAGGGTCTCACTGAGTTGCTTAGGGCCTCGCTTTTTCCTGAGGCTGGCTTTGAACTTGCAATCCTCCTGTCTCAGCCTTCAGAGCCACTGGGATTACATGCATGCATCACTGCACCTGGCTCAACTATTTCTTGATATACATATATACATACGTATCTTGAAAACATACTTTACAAAGGAGGATATATTTTCAATATATTCTGAAAAGCTGAGCACAGTGACAAATTTCTTCTGTTGTAAGTCCACGGTTAGTCTTTTTTATTTTCACTAATCTTTCTTAATCCTTAAGTTTTTTTGTCTTAGTTTGATTAAAATATTATTTCTAAAATGATATAGTTTTTTGGGGGGGACGGGGGAGGGCAGGGATTGAACCCAGGGGTGCTTAAAGACTGAGACACATCTCCAGCCGCTGCCTCCTTTAAAAAAATAAATAAATAAATTCTATTTTGAGACAGAGTCTCACTAAGTTGCTCAGGGCCTCACTAAATTGCTGAGGCTGGCTTTGAACTTTTGATCTTCTTGCCTCAGCCTTCCAAGCCGCTGTGATTACAGGTGTACACCATTGAACCCAGCAAGACTGATTTTTAAAAAAGCAAATTTGTCAGGGAACCTTTTCTATTCCCCTGGACAGAAAAATCTCTCCTTCCTCTGCCAAAGGGCTTTATTTAACACTTGATTTTAGTTTGTACTACACTTAGCTGCCTGTGTGCCTCTCAATTCCAGCCTGCCCTAGTCTGTGATGGCAGACTAGCTCTCACCCAGCCTAGTCCCCTGACTACCCAAGGCTTTAGTGTCCTAACAGTAGTCATGGAATATTGGCTCAGTGCCAGCTGGTTCAGTTCTCACAACCCAGTGGGGTAAGAACTTCTGCTACACCTCCGTTTCACAGGTGAGTAAAGAGAGGCAGAGAGAGGTTACGTAAATTGCCCAAGATTGCCCTACAATCTTGGCAGAACTAGTCTGTTATTGACAGTAGATTTTTTTTGTTTGGTTGGTTTTTGTTTTTTTGGTGGCACTGCAGAGCCCAGGGGTACTCAACTATTAAGCCACATCTCCAGCTCTTTTAATTTTTAATTTTGCAACAGGATCTCACTAAGTTGCTGAGGCTGGCTTGAATCTGGGATCCTCTTGCCTCAGCCTCCCTTAAAGTTTAAGGTTTTATTTTCTTTCTTTAGGAGAAAATAGGGCACCAGGCCCTGAGCTTGTTAAACCTCACCTATAAATACTTTTGAAATTAGGAGGAAAAAGTAATTCTCTAGAAAAAAAAAAAAAATCTGTATGTACCTTTTATCTTTGTTATTCAAAATAACACTTTGTGCACAGCTTAAAATTTTTCTATGAGGAAACAAAGCGGGTATGAAGTTAACTTAGTTAAATTTTCATCAGATTATTAGCTTCTAGAACTCTTCAGGGTCAATGGAAAACCCAGTTCTGCACTGAAGCTCTATTTTTGTTTCAAGAAATTCTATACTCATGTTACAACTTGAGATTCTCACCCATGACTGGATAAAAAGTTCCCATGGTTGAAGAAAATATTGGGTAGCTAATAATGACTGCTTGCTTTCAACCAGTGATCAAGCTGGATTCTGGTGTCTCCAGGACTGGCCACAAAAGCCCATTCAATCTGTGCCAGGAACACAGGGCTGAATCAGCAAGCCTGGGTTTCCGCCTGTCCAATGGTCGTGTTCTTTCAGGGAAATTACGCAAAGGTACTTTAAAAATGAGCATAATTTATTATTGTTGTAGTCCTCAACACGGCAGTATTTGAGTTCTGTGTGCAATAGTGTTTCTGTGGGAAAACATTGTGAATTAAAAATGAGGTTCAGGGGTTGGGGGCCTAGCTCAGTGGTAGAGCTCTTGCCTAACAAGCACAAGGAATGGAATCCCTGTCACCACCAAGAAAAAACAAAAGGTCTCTAAGAGCAGGTCTCTGCCTGCTTTGTCTCTACCTACACTGTCTCACAGAGGGACCTGGAGACCTGTGTTCCCACCGCTCATCTATCTGTTGTCAGTGGCACTGGTGACTTGCCTGGTTTCAAGCTTCATGCCTCAGAACAGGAGGAGGGACAAGGTTCAGGGGGTGAGGAAAGCCATGGCTCTTCTCTTTTGAGCTCCAAGTTTGGAGTGTTTCTTTCTGTGGTCATGCCCAGCAGAACTATCTGCTTCTCCCTTGTCCCCCAGTCCCCAAAACCAAGCAACAGTTCTGCATTGCCCACTTTGGAGTAAATTGTGGAAATCAAATAGAATGCTCTGTGAGCTCCACACATGTCCAGTGTCACTGCTGTTCTGAGCTACCTCAGCATATGAGGGGGTGGGCTTAGCGTCAAAGAGAGCTTTCCAGTTACAGTCAGTACTTAACTATTTAGCAACAGTAGTGGTTTAGAGACATTGTTTAGTCTACCTCCAACAGGATTTAAGTCCTTTATCTGCTTGTTTATTTATTCGTCTTAAGAATGCTAAGAAATTATTACATTATCTTTTTCCATTTTACACATCAAAAATCAAGGTTAAAAGATGGAGTTATCTGCCTATGGCCATGATCATCCAGTTTTACAAAAGACAAGGCTGTGAATCAAACCTGAGGCCAAGACTTTGTGGTCAACCACAACATACAAGATTGCACAGAAAATAGGCACTTCACATCCTTTCTCCAGTTCACAACTAAACTGGCTGTTTCCTGGCGCACCCCATTTTTAGAAATGTAGTAGTTTATCAATCATTAATACTTCATTATTAAGTAACAGCTGACTCTTCAGTGCTGTTAGGAGAGGCTGGCTGAGACAGTGATACCTTCCTAAGTGCCCAAGAACTGGGATCCTCCTTTCTTGGGCACTTACTGTAAGAAGTTAGAAATGCAAAATGAATGTTAAAAGAAAATGGGAAAAACCTCAAAGTACTTACTCATTGAAGCAATTGGTGGTTTTAAAATATTATCACTCAGTTGATTCTAGATCTCTTCCCTAGTTGGAGAACTTTCCAGGCTGTAGATCAGAGTGGCCTAGAGTCTGGCATACAGGGTAAATAAGTTCACCTCTGGGTGGTGCTGCATTTACAAACCAGCGTCTGGGGAGTGATGCCATTTCCGGTGGCATGTGGGGCAAATGACACGGGTCAGCATTCAGTTTCTTGCTTTCGAAAATGGATGAATTATGACTTCAAGGCTTTGGTATATATGAAAACATGAAGTGGTAAATAAATACTGAAAAAAATTCCCCCAAACCCCAGAATCTTCCTGAAAATTGGCTCTGAACTTGTTTTTACTTCACCTTTCTCAGTAATTGGAATGTAACTTATCTCAACTCTTTTTTATTCTAACAAGTCAGTTCCCCAGCTCTTATTATTCTCCCTTGCATTGTGCCTCCAAGGCCAAAAGGGTTGTTAGAAGCCAGAGGGAGGAAGTGAGAAAGGACTGCTAGGGAGATAGATGGTATTTGTGTTCTAACTTGTGCTTAGGAACAGAGATCCTGTACCTTAGTGTGGCACCTATGGTTTACAAAACACTTTCAAATTCTTTCACTTGATTCTGCCCTCTTGTTGGAAGATTAGCCCCGGGAATAGCTAGGGGAAAACAAAGAAAATTAAAGGACTGAGCTAAGTCCCCAGCTAAACATAGCAAGCCACAGAGCTTCTCCCTTGCTTCCATTGAAAACCAGCAGGTAACTCAAGCAGGACCGTGTGCTTAGAAGGAAATGGTTCTTTGATTGACCAGATAAGCACAGGGCTTTTGTTTTTTGTTTGGAATGGTAGTATTTAGGGGGAGAAACATTATCTCCTCTTGTACAAATACCAAAATGAAAGAAAAGGAGGAAATTAATCAGAAAAAAAAAAAAAAGAAAGAAAACTTTTCTCAAAATAGTGAGACTTCTATAGTGTTTTAAACACTTTAGGATAGAGAATTTTTCCATTACATTAATTCTTCCCCCAACCCCCGGAATTGAACCCAGGCCTTGCACATGCTAAGCAGTTGCTCTATCATTGAGCTTTACCTGCAACCTCCATAACATGAAATAGTATAAAATAATTAAAAAACAAGACTAACAGATTCCAAAACAGTCCTGAATTACATGCCTTCCATGCTCTGTTTTTGATTTTGTTTTTTAAATACTATGCTACTTAGATAAGATGACCTATAAAATGGTGCAGTTTTCATTACTCATTGTTTTCATCTTCCTATCTAGAGCCACCGGTCAAATTACTTTAACATTCTTTCCCATGAATTTGAATGCAATCATTACTGTGTCTCCGGGAAGGGAAGGGCTGCAATCTAGAACCCCTGATATTTTAAAATTCGCATTTCATAACTCGAAAAATCTGCCATTATTTTATCCTAGCAATTCTGTGAGTGGCAAATCTTTCAAGTGTTTTAGATTTCAGCTAGCCTGTGCACTGTGAGAATAAAATAACAAGCAACGGGTGCATGAGTAAAATTCCTCTTATCATCACAGAGAACAGAAGAGCTGGACTAATGCAAAAGGATAATCAGGCTTATGCTGTTAAATTTAAAATGAAGTTGTTTAAGGTCATCCAAAAGATTTTCTTGCTTCTAAGAGTTAATCATGGGGCTGGGGATGTGGCTCAAGCGGTATCCCGCTCACCTGACATGCACGCGGCCTGGGTTCCATCCTCAGCACCACATACAAAGATATTGTGTCTGCCAAAAACTAAAAAATAAATAAATATTTAAAATTCTCTCTCTCTCTTTAAAAAAAAAAAAAGTTAATCATGATAACTGGCTACTTTGGCACATATCAAATCCCAGCGACTGCAAGGCTGAGGCAGGAGGATCACAAGTTCAAGGACAGAATGGGCGAATTTAGTGAGAACCTGTCTCAAAATAAAAAATGAAAAGGGCTGGGAATGTAGCTCAGTGGTGAAGCAGCCCTGTTGTTCAATCCCCAGGACAAAATAAAGTAAAACAAATAAAAGAACATTGTAATACGATTTGGATTTGAAATGTACCTCAACAGCTCGGTGTGTTGAAGGCTTGATCCCCAAGGTAGCAGCTGAGAGGTGGGAGTCTTTGGAGCCTTCATTCATGAAAGCTCTGATTTCATTAATGGATTAATTCATTGATGGAGTCATACTTTATTTTGCTGTTGGGAATTGGTGGAAGTTTGGTAGGTAGAGCCTAGTTGGAGAAAGTAGGTCCTTGGAGAAGTGCCCTGGAAGCATCTATCTTGTTCTCTTGTTTTCTTCTTTTCTCTCTCCCTTTTTGCAACCCAGCTGCCATGAGGTGATCAGTTTTACTCTACTATATGCTCCCTACTATGGTGTTTTTCCCCACCACATGCCCAGAAGCAATGAAGCCAAATGACCATGGCCTAAAACTTATGAAACCATGAGCCAAAAGTAAATCCTTCCTCCTTTAAGTTGATTTTCTCAGGTATTTTGTACAGCAGCAGAAAAAGGACTAACACAATGTTCCAGCGTCTATTGTGATTCTGGCTCCATTTCATTCTCCAAAAGTTTTGGGGAGTTGTCTGTTTTTCTTCACCACATTTGACTTTTTCCTCAAAGATGACAACTTACAAATGTTTTGTCCCTCAGATGTGCGTTCTCATACAGACCTTCTTTCATAAAGTCAGCTCTTGTTGTTATCTTCACTCTGCAGATGATGAAACAGGCACGGAGAGAACAGAACTTGGGTAACGTGTGATCTTGACAGAGCAGGCAGGCTGGAGCCAACTCTTATAACTGCACAGTGTGTGACCTTTGCTGCCTCCTCAGTGGGAGGCCAAACAGGGTGCACTGTCATCATTGTCATTCTTAAATTATGTTGCTCATTTTTAGAAGGTAATGCATGCACATGGCACAAAACTTCGAAGGGCATAAGAAGCATGAGTGAGAAGGAGTCATGCACACTTTGGGTTTCCAAATCCTTGTTTCTCTTCTAGAAGCAATACTGCCTGCCTCTTTCTTCTTGCCTGCTGTGCCTAAAAGCTTCTATATAGATGTTCTATATCTTTCTGAGATATATTATTCTCTCTTCCTTTCTTCTTGAAGATCTAATATTGCTTTTTATTAAAGGCAGTTGTTTGGGTATAGGCTTCACTTAGAATGGATGTTAAACTGTAGAAATGCTTTGGTAAACAGATTGTTTCAAACACGCAGATATTTAAAATGATATAGGAAACCCATTCCTCACAGCAGCCTGCCACAAGAGGCAGACAAATCTGTTCTGGGAGGCAGCACCATGACCAACCTGGGCCTATGGTGAGCCGTGGTGATAGCATGTCTGCTCATGGTATGGGTTGAAGCTAAAGGTGTGATGCTGTGAAGCAAGTGAGCTGTGAGAGTCTCTGGCTTTGCAGCCAACAGACTTGGGTTTAAAAACCCTTTTAGTCATATGGCTGCATGACCTTGGCAGTCACTTAATTCCCCTGTGACTATTTTCTCATTTACAAAATGGTGATAATAATAACACAACCTAGATAGATGCAAAGATTGAGAAAACAAACCCAGAATACGGTGTCCACAGGACTGTATATAAAAGGAGCTCTGTATCGTTAACCATGGCCCATTTAGTCATTCTCTCTTTATTTCAGTCAAAAAATAAAATATAATAAATAAAAATAATTCTGATAGGCACTATTCTAAGTAGTAAGGATAAAGTAGTGAATAAGACTTTTGTGTACTGGGAATTGTACTCAGGGGTATTTTACCACTGAGTTACATCCTCAGCCATTTTTTTTTTTTTTTTTTTTTGAGACAGGGTCCAAGTTGCTAAGGTGGTGAAGGTGTTCCTGCCCCTGCTGTCTGACAGGGTCACAGCGTGGGAGATATTGCAGCAGGGCCGACACATCTGGAAACCAAAACCATGGGGTGCTATGGCTGCTCTGATCCTGGAAATATTAATGTGGTTAACAGGAAGCATCTCAATCCAAACTAAAAACATATGTTGTTAGAATGTTTGGGAAAGTTCCCAGAAGGAGACTAAGAATATGACAAAAAAAATGTCCTGAGATTTGTTTTAAGACTAACGTTATCTAGAATATAAGTAAACACAAATACGTAGTCCCAGACCAGGATTTCTGGGAAAAGCATAGATTATAAGAACTCTTTGCTCCACAGTTGACATTTTCTACTAGGTCTCCTGATCCAAAAGTGCAACCTGTGCGTAAGCCTAATCACAGGAAAAGAATTGTTGTGCCAACAGTGCAAGGCCAGCCTTTTATAGCTTATTTAATTCAAGGAAGACTATGGTACCCTCCTAGGGGCAGGGAAGCTAATCAGAATACATTCCCCTTACCCACAGACCCTCCCTTGCCATTTATGGGAATACCTGACGAAAATGGGAGACATATAGTTAATGTAAATGGAAAATGGACTGACAGTGCAGAATCTGCCCTTTAGTTAGAGGTTACAAAGGTTCAAAAATTGGTGTACCTTGACCAAGGAACAAAGAAACTCTTTAGCAGTTTAAAAGGTTAATCATAGCTTAGTAAAAGATCAAAAGGAAAAGCAAAAATACAAGCGTGATCCATGTTCCATGTAAAAGTAGAATGCATGCTAAAAGGTTGTGGAACTCACAAGGGAAATATGTAAATCAGGAAAATCAGGCCATAAGGCCACCTGTTAACCATCTGAAAAAGTGTATTTAAGAATACAAGAGCCTTGAGCTGTGGCGCATGCCTGTAATCCCAGCGGCCCCGGGGGCTGAGACAGGAGGATTGTGAGTTCAAAGCCAGCCTCAGCAACTGCAAGGCTGTAAACAACTCAGTGATACCCTGTCTCTAATAAAAAATACAAAATTGGGCTGGGGATGTGGCTCAGTGGTTGAGTGCCCCTGAGTTCAATCCCTGAAACCCCACCCCCCCCAAAAAAAAATAAGAACAAAAAAGAATAAAAGGCTCCACAGGGAGCAGCAGATCTTTCTGAAGACTGTTTGAAG